GCAACAATTCGCCGCCGGGCGCGGCCGACAGTTGGAAGCCTTGGCAACACGCACTACGGTCGAAAGTGCGAAGTCGATGATGACCAGCGGGCAATTGGCGGCCTTCGATATAAGCCAAGAGCCCGGCGAACTGAAAGCCGCGTACGGCGATTCTCCTTTCGGACGAGGGTGCCTGGCCGCTCGCCGGTTGATCGAAGTTGGCGTCCGCTGCGTCGAAGTGACGCTCGCAGGTTGGGACAGTCATTTCGACAATCACGAGACACATCGAGGGCTCGTCTCTGTGCTCGATCCCGCCTTTGCCGCGTTAGTTCGTGACTTGCGAGAGAACGATCTGCTCGATCAAACCGTCGTGCTCTGTATGGGCGAATTTGGGCGTACCCCACGCGTGAACGCCCTGGACGGCCGCGATCACTGGCCGCACAGCTTCAGCGCGGCCATCGCTGGCCGTGGAGTGAAAGGTGGCACAGTTATCGGCAAGTCCGACCCCGAGGGAGGTCGCAACGTAGAGCAGCCACACACCATCGCCGACATCCACGCCACCATCTACGAGGCACTCGGCATCGACATCGCCAAAGAGCATATCTCCCGTGCCCAACGCCCAATCGCGATCAGCGAGGGAACTCCCATCGAAGGGCTCCTCGGCTAGCCCACGGCCAGACAAACCTCACGACCGATCAATCTGATACCTCGGGGGTAGAAATGCTAGCATCCACCCCTCGAGTGCCATAAAATAGAGAATGTGGAAGGCATGGATTCGTGCCACATCCGACGGCGGAAAGGATGATCAAGTCGAGATGCACATCAAGGATGTTCCAGGATGGCGACTCACCTGGGAACTCTGCCGATGTCGTTCCTCACCATGCTGCAACTTCTTGGGGCGGCCCTTGTGGTGCTTGGCGCCATAGCGGTCGCTGTTCGTCCCATGAGCGGTCGCAAAAAGCGCATCGAAGGCGGCTTTAGCGATCGCGAAGTTCTGCGAGACTGAACTACAGCCCTTCATTCAGCGGTTGCAGATCATCAGGGATGAAGCGTCCGTCCTTGCGGACCAACTCCCCGTCGAAGTAGATCTCTCCGCCGCCAAACTCCGGCGTTTGAATCAGCACCAGGTCCCAGTGCACCCGGCTGCGGTTTCCATTGTCGCAGTCGTCGTACGCATTGCCCGGCGTGAAGTGCAGCGATCCGCCGATCTTTTCGTCGAACAGTGTGTCGAGCATTGCCTGCTTCACACGGTTATTCACACCAATCGACCATTCGCCGATGTAACGGGCACCCTCGTCCGAATCCAAAATCCGGTTAATCGCATCGGTCTCACCGCCAGCCGCGGCACGGACGATCTTTCCTTTGCTGAACTCGAACTCGATATCGCTGAACACAATGCCCTGGTAACGGGAAGCCGTGTTGTAGCGAATCGTTCCCTCGACACTGTCGCGGATCGGCGCGGTGAAGACCTCCCCGTCGGGAATGTTCCGCTGCCCGTGGCACGGCCGCACCGGCATGTCACGTACGGAAAAAGTCAACTCGGTGCCGGGGCTCACAATCCGCACTTTGTCGGCGGCCTCCATCCGTGCGACCAGCGGTTCCTGGTTCTTCCCCATTTGGGCATAGTCGACCGTGCAGACGTCGAAGAAGAAATCCTCGAAGGCTTCGGTGCTCATCTGCGCGGCCTGGGCGAAGCTGTCGGTGGGGTACCGCAACACGACCCACTTCGTCTTCGGCACACGCACATCCAGGTGCACCGGCTTCATCCAATGTTGCTGCTGCAGGTCGAGACGCTCCAGAGGCACATCGGCGAATTGGTTGCTGTTGGCCGACCCGCGGATGCCAATATAGGCATCCATCTTTTTCATCCGCGCCATTTCAAATTCGGCGGCCAGTTTCATGTTCGCTTCCGTAGCATTGCGGTACAGCGATCGCAACACCGTATTGCTCTTGGTCGAGACCACCGGCACCGCACCCCGCTGGCTGGCCAAGTCGATCAGATCGCACACCAGCGATTCGTCAGGCAGATCAAACGCTTCGATTAGTACATTCTCGCCCGGCTTGAGCTGACAACTGTGGTCAATCAGTATTTCGGCCAGTTGTCGAATGCGTGGATCTCTCATGAAGGTGAACCAATCGGGATGGCGGATTTAGGAAATGCCCAACTCCAGCGTGTGCGGCACTTCGCCGCAATCATGCACGTCTGGGGGGACCGACATCTTAGAAAAACCCCTCCTCAGCGACAACGTACGCGCACGATGTTCGCAATACTCCGCCAACAACGCCCCGAATGGATTCGTCAGGCTCCGGCCGAGCATCCATCCGATAGCAGAGGAGTGCCCTCAGACCGGCGTTGCTCACATCGGGGCTTGTTTCGCTATGTCCGCTATACCCGGCATTGCCCTTCCTGACGGTGCAACCCCACCAGTCGTTTGCTATGGCCCAGGGCGTAACCTATATGAACTTAGGATTGTCCTGCATTCTCGCAGCGATTACTCGTCGCGAGCCCTTCAGAGAACTGAGGTTCCGGAGCGCATCCGGAGCGTCTTGCTCGTATTGAATTGGTGAATCAGTGCCGACCCTCCGGCGTCAACAAAACGTTGATGGTACCACTCGTAAGTGGTCGCCCTGTGTGGAATTTCTGTTGCTCATGAACTCGTAAGATCGCGCCCATGGAAGAGCATCTCGAAACGGCCGATCTCAGCGGAGACTGGAGCCAACAGTTTGCCAAAGCACTCGAGGGTCAGCGTGCGCGCGTCGAGCAGTTCGTAACAACCCAGCGCGAACGAATGCAGGGGTTGGAGCAAAACCTCAGCGAGCAATTCGAGCGGTTAGAGGAAGAACTGCAAAGCGAGAAGCAGTCAGTCGACCACAATCGCAACGAAGTCAGCCAGCGCGGCGAAGACCTCGAGCAACAGCGGGCACAGCTCGAGCAGCTTCGAGAGCAACTCGAACAGCAACAAGCTGAGTGGACAGGGGCCCACAATCAGGCCGCACAACAGCAAGAAGCCCTCGCTGAACAGCTTGCCACCCGTCAAGGAGAACTGGAAGAGCTGGAACGGAGGCTCGATCAGCAGAACGCCGAGATCCGCGAACAGCAACATAAGCTGGAGCTGGCCGAACAGGAATTCCAACGTACGAACGAAGACCTGGAGCGTCAGCGAAAGCGCGTTTCCGAGAAGTCGGCCGAACTGGACGAACTTCGCGAGCAACTCGAAGAGCAACAAGCTCAGAATCGTTCGCAACGGCGGAAGATCGCCAATCAACTTCGTGCACAAAAGGCCGAAGACCTCAAAGAAATTTCCCGGCAGCGGGCCCTCCTCGAAGAGCGAACCGCAGAGGGTCAAACCGAGGCCCAACAGGCCCTGGCAGAGTCGCGTGCCCAAATCGATCAACTGCATGAAGAGCTGGCTCAAGCCCGTGAGAACTTCGACCAGTTACGTGAGGAGTTGGACTCCGAACGTGAAGACCGCTCGCGGATTGAACAGGAACTCACCTCTTCAAAACACACAGTCGAGAACCTCAATACGCAGCTCGATGAACAGACCGAAGGCGGCGAACAACAGCGGCGTTCACTTGAAGAACAGCAGGCTCGCTACGAGGCCGAACTCGCCGAGTTGCGGGAAGCCAACGAGAGGCTGCAGCGTGAACTAGCCGAGCAATCGCAAGGCGGCGAAGAGCACCATCGCTCGCTGGAAGAATTGCAGGCCAATCACGAATCGGAACTGGCCGAGCTTCGCCAGGCGAACGAGAGTTTGCAGTTGCGATTGGAAACCCAATCGTCCGGCGACGAAGAGCAACATCAGGCACTCGAAGTACAGCGATCGAACTACGAAGCCGAACTCGCCCAACTCCGCGAAGCAAACGACAATTTGCAGCGTCAACTCTCCGAGGCAGGCAATCCTGACGACGCTTTGGACGCCCGCGTTGCAGAACTCGAGGCCGAACGCCAGAACCTTGTTGATCAACTGGCCGAAGCACAACTCGCGGCTTCAAACGCTCCAGCAGGCGGAGTGGATAGCGAGCAGCTCGAGGAAGCCGAGCGGCGTTACAAACTGGCCATGGAAGACATCCGCGAGCTCAAGGGCAAAAACGAGGAACTCGAGCGCTCACTTAAGCAAGCCCAACAGCAAGGCGCTGCAGCCGCTGCGACGAGCGGCGGCGATGCCATGGACTGGGAGTCGCAAAAGCGAAAGCTGTTGGCTCAACTCGAGAGCGACTACAACGACGACAGCGAAGAATCGGTCGCCGCGCGGATGTCGGTTGAAGAGGCTATCCAGCGCACCAACGACACGGTGGCTGCCAAAGATCGCTTGATCTCCGAACTGCAGGAGCAACTCGAGCAACGTAGCGAAAGCGATCAGAATAGCAACTCAGAGGCGGCCGCGCAGCGTGAGGCCGTCGACAACGACGAAGTCATTCGCGAGGAACGCGACCGACTCAAGCAACTGCAGTCCGACTGGGAAGAGAAGCTGCGTCAGGCTGAAGTCGAGCTGTCGGTCGAACGCGCGAAGATCGCCCGCGAGCGAGCCCAAATCGAAGAAAAGGTCCGAGCCTACGAGCTGCAGCGGCCTCGTGCCGAGTCGCCAGACAGCCCCGCTTCGACGCACTCTGAAAAGCCAACCCGTGGGCGCTGGCTATCACGGTTAGGGTTGAAAGACCAGGACGAATCCTAAGCAGGGTCACCCGCTCAGCGTTGACTGAGCGCTCGAAAGGCCATCAGCACGATCACCGCACCAATGATCGACCCGATCCATCCGGCCGGCTGAAACTGACCATCTCCGCTGCCAAAAAGCACGTGGCCCAGCATTCCGCCGACGATCGATCCGGCGATTCCCAGCAGGCTGGTACCAATGCAGCCCAAATTCTGATCGCCTCGCACCAACAGTCGGGCGATAGCGCCCGCGATCAGCCCGAAGATGCACCAGCCGATAAAACTCATGAACCCCATGGGTTATCTCCTGCCATGGACGAATGATCTACCCGAGGCGATCATCATAGCTTTCATCGCGCGCTTTCGTCTATTCCTTCGAGCCGTCGGGCGATTTCAGCAAATCAAACAATTCACTATCGGTCGAAAGCACCACGCTGGAATCTTTGCCGAGTGACGACTTGAAAACTTCCAGCTTGCGAAGAAACTTGAAGAACTCCAGTGCCTCCGGCGACTGGTTGTAGGCTTCGGCCGTAATGCGAATCACATCCGCGTCGGCCTCACCCCGAATCTTGGCACTCGCCGCCTGCATCTCACCTTCAATCTGATCCAACTCGCGACGGGTGTGACCTTGGATGCGGTTCCGCTCTTCCTCGGCTTCGGATTCGAAGAGACTTGCAATTCGCTGCCGCTCGGCACGCATGCGTTCATAGACGGCTTGCTTCACGGAGTCGATATAATTCACGCGCATCACACGGACATCCTTGATTTCCATTCCGTATTCTTGCTCGAGATCGGTACTGGCGACCCGCAAGATCTGTTGCTCGATATCATCGCGTCCCTTTTCAACTTCCTCGACATCATTCCGTTGGATTTCTTCGTCCTCGTAAAGAAGTTCATCGTTCGAGCTACGTACAAGTTCAATGAGCCGGTGCTGTGCCACTACATCACGCACCGCCGAGTCCACCAGATCGTCCAGGATTTTGTAGCCGCCTTGTTCAGTCCTCACGGCCGGATAGAAGATGTCGGCGTCCGCAATCCTCCAACGGGCCCACACTTGGACGAATATTCGCTTTTTGTCACTGGTCTGCATGTTCTCCGCAGCACTATCCCAAGCCATCAAACGCTTTTCCAGGAAATGCACTTCCTGCACAAAGGGCATCTTGAAATGCAGCCCGGCTTCACTCGCAGTGTCTTTCAATTCACCGAATTGAGTAACGACTGCGATTTGCGACTCATCAACGGTATACAGGCTGCTGAAGCCGAGAATGCCCAGCAGGATCATTAGAATCACGACCAGTGCGGGAATTGACGTACGCACGTTTGGATATCCTCTGCGTTATTAGTTGCCGGAAGGTGTCCCGGGATTGTTTAAGTTCATCAGGGGCAGAACCCCGCCGACCGATTCGTCGACGATCGTCTTGCTTTGAACTCCCCCCAGCACTTCTTCCAATGCCTCGAGGTAGAGCCGCGTCTTCGTCACCTCCGGCGCCTTCTCGTACTCGGCCAGTTGTGCCTTGAACGCTTCCACCTCGCCTGCTTTCTCCTGTGTGATTCGTTCGCGATAACCTTCGGCTTCAGAGATCATCTGATCTCGTCGACCTCGGGCTGCTGGAATCTGGCGGTTGCGCTCACCTTCGGCTTCGTTGACGATCTTTTCCTTCTTTTGTCGGGCGCGGTTCACTTCTTGAAATGCTTCTCGAACATCACCCGGAGGCGAAGTGCTTTGCAATTTCACGGTCACGATATCTACCCCCGCACCGAAACTGTCCAGCAACGTCTGAATGTTTCGTTTAGCGTCGTTCGCTATTTGCTCGCGGCTGATGGTTAGCACTTCGTCGATGCTCGCGTCTCCTACCAGTCCCCGCATGACCGACTCCGATACGTCGTGAATCGTGTCGGGCACCGCCAGATTCACATCTCCGGTCTTTCCTACGGGGCGAGCACGCCGGCCTGGAGCTTCCGTGGTACCAATGCTGAACAGATATTGCTTCGGGTCGCTGATTCGGTATTGAACGATCCATTCCACGTTTGCCAGATTCAAGTCACCGGTCAGCATTTCGGAAACATCGAGATTCGCTTCCGATTGTTCTGCATAGGTTGTTCGCCGACCAGGTTCCTCGGTGTCGAAGCCGAACTCCAGGCTTTGGATTTCCCGAACCGGAACGAGAAAAACTTCCTCGATTGGCCACGGCAGTTTGAACTGCAAGCCTGGGTTGACCGTCTCCTTGTACGCTCCGAATCGCAGTACAACTCCCTGTTCGGTCGCTTCAACCCGATAGAACATCGAATACGAAGCCACGACGACGATCACTGCCACGAGTGCGATTAAGATCTGCGGACCGTAACGCTTCACATCGCGCGAGAAGTCACTCCCGCTGCGGCGGCCGAATTGAAAATCTTCAAAGTCCATCCGTCATCCTCTTTATTCGAGCGAAGCGGCCCTCCAATCGATGGCGGCCACTTAAATTCGATCGCGAGCAGAGTCTTTCACCGAGGCGGTATATCATCACCCTATTCGCCGAGCGGAAAGAAGTCTTGGCCCTGTCTTCGACGAAACGTAGAAAAGTACCCTACGAGTATAAACGCTCGCAGGGCGAACTGCATGTACGGCCAGCACTTACACTTAGGGTCGTTGCAAGGTCATGGCTCCATCGGAGCCTGAGAACTGTGGTCCAACGCAGACAGCGCCTCGGCCGCCTCCTCGTAGCTCGGGTCGATCTCCATCGCGAACGCATAATGCTGACGGGCAAGATCAGGGAGTTTGAGTTGCTCGTACGCTTGTCCTAAATGAACGTGAACCTCAACCAGATTGTTATTAGCGTTCAACACCTGCTGGAATCGAGCGGCCGCCTGTTGAGGAAAACCCGCGGCAAGCTCTGCCTGACCAAGACTATCAACAAGACCCAACTCGTTGGGCTCCAATAGCAGAGCCTCTTTGAAAGCTTCCACAGCCTCCTCGTTTCTCCCTTGCTTCATCAACGCCTGCCCCAGACCGTTGTAAGGGTGATAGTACCGCGGTCCCGCATCGATCGCCCGCCGATAGATCGCTTCAGCCTCTTCGTACTCTCCCTCCTCATTCAGAAAGACGCCCAAGTTATTCAACGCCAGGATACTACTCGGGCTGACTTCCAACGCATGCCGCAACAAGACCTCGTCGTTCCGCCACAGCAGCGACTGTTCGTGAGCCAGATAGCCCAACAATCCCAACACGGACACACTAATCACAACTGCAATGCGTCGAGAACACATGGAAAGCAAGTAGGTCACCGCCAACGAGGGCCCCAGCATCGCCAAGTACACAAACCGGTCAGCAACGGTCGAATGCGATTGAAAGCTAAAGCTGACCAGCCCCAGCGTCGGCAGTGCACCCGCAATGAACAGCCCGATGGCCACCAACCAAATCCTGCGCTGCGGCAGCAGAGCAGCCAAAAAGAGAACTGCCACCGCTAACCCGGCGAGCAAGAAACCACCATTCTCGATTACCCACTGCGGATTCCGCTGATAATCAATGGCCAGCCCGCTGGGTAACACCAGCTTTTCCACATAGAACCCCAATGCATCAACCGCAACCCACGGACGAGATAACCACGGAATTTCGAACGTCAGGTACTCCTGCCCCTGCTGGGTCTTCGTCGCTACAGCAACCATGCCTGCCACCGCCAGCCAAGGCACTAGCTCCAGCGCACTTCGCTTCCACGACCGCCGGAGAAGTCCAACGCTGAAAAGACCGGCCATCAACGGCACGGCCGCCGCCGAAGGTTTAGAGAGAATCGCCAGCAAGAAACACACCGTTGCCACCAGGTACGGCCAACGTCGTCGCACTTCCGCAGCCTGCTGCACGAAGACCAAATACAACCAAATCGCAAGCATCCCGAATAAAGCCGCGAGAAGCCCCCGCGTCTCAGTAACCCAAGCCACGCTTTCAGCCTGCAAGGGGTGCAACGAGAATAGCAGCGCCCCGCCGAGCGCCGCCGGCCGCGAGTCGATCAGCCGCCGCAATATCAGATAAACCACCACGCCCGTTCCGCAGTGCAGCAGCAGGTTCACCAGGTGAAAGGGCCACGGCACCAGTGCCCCGTCGGCACCATTCAGCCCCAGGACTTCCGACCCCCACACAACCGCCGCGTAAAACGTGTACGCCACGGGGGCATACAGCCCTTCGTACGGCGCGACCCAAAATCGCAGCACGCGCCGCCACTCGAAGGGAGGCCGCAGGTACTCGTTCTCCGTCACATTCAACGGATCGTCATAAAGCAAAAACTGATGGCCGACGACCGGATAGAAGACCAGCAGCGTAAGGCCAACCAGTAGCAGCACAGCCACCAAGTCGTAGCGACTCAGCGGTTCCCGCCCCTGCAGTTCTGGTTCCGGCGAAGAACGCTCAGGCCCTACGGTCAAAACAAATCCCCGCGTTCGAGGTCTGATGGGAAAACAACGGTCGCCATATTTCGCAGTTTGCGCACCCCAGCACCGTAAACATTTTCACGTAAACCGCGATTTCCGGCTTGGCAATCCGTGCGGCTAATGCGGATCGTGCCGCCGATCGAATCGAACTTCCACCCAGCGGCGAGCGGTGCCCGATACTGACAGCGTAATCCCCACCCACGGACGGGGCGAGGGGGCGTGTTGCGCACCCTCTGGTCTGCCAGCTCAGCACAGTGTTCAACCACTGGAAGCACTGGTCGCGGCAGGCTTTTCAACAAGCCAGCAACGTGCAGGCTTGTTCACTCGATGGCGGGCGATGGCCGACTCTTAGCGGCTGTTCGAAGGAGCGAAGCAGATGCAACTGAGATTCTTCATCATTCTCGCGATGGTCGTCACCCTTGCGCCTGTCACAGACATCGCCAGGGCGGAATCACTCAAGGAATCGCTCTACACGTGGAAAAACTACCTAGACCCCAGCAGCGGTGGTTCCGGGGGCGGTGGTCACAGTCATAGCGGCATCAAAGGCGGTCGGCCCGACACGCATGCTCCCGCCGGCTTGATGGGCGCACATGTCCACAAGCAGGGCGAAATGATGTTCGAGTTCAAGTTCATGACCATGGACATGGACGACAACCTCGTCGGTTCGCGAAAGGTCTCCGATGTCGAAGCGCTCGACGCCTCGGGGGTCAGCTTCATGGCCACCCCAACCCGGATGCACATGGACATGTACATGCTCCATGGTATGTACGGTCTAACTGATAACGTCACGCTCTACGTCATGCCAATGTGGGTCGACTTGACGATGGACCACCTCCGTCGCATGCCGCTGATGGGCGATCCCGATTTCACCACCCACAACAGTGGCTTCGGCGATACACCACTCGGTGCGTTGTGGAGAATCTACGACGGCGACACCGACGAGTTGATTGTGAACCTCGGCTGCAGCGTGCCCACCGGCAAGATCAATGGTCGCACGGCCGCTCCCTCGAACGGAATGATGCCCCCCGGCCTGTTTCCCTACCCCATGCGACTTGGCAGCGGAACCTTCAACGCCCGACCTGGCGTCACTTACCGCCAATACTGGGAAACACGCAGCTTCGGGGCCCAATATCAGGCCGATCTGCCGATTGGTCGCAACTACCGAAACTACTCAGTAGGCGACACGCATCGCCTCAATTTCTGGCTCTCCCAACGCATTGGGCCGGAAGGCAACCTCGCCTTCACCTTCCGTGTTGAAAACCTGTGGCGTTCGAACTTCGGCGGTTTCGACCCCGCCTTCGGCCCCAACAACACGGTCATCAGCACCGCCCGCACCGACATGCGTGGCGGCTACTGGCTCGACTTGGGCTACGGAGCAATCTGGCTGCTACCCAAGGGCGGACGCCTCAGCTTCGAAATCGTCCAGCCCATCTTCCAAGACCTCGACGGCGTACAACTTGAAACCGACATGGCCGTCTTCGCCAGCTACTCGAAGGCGTTCTAGTAAGTACCAGTTCTTGTTTGCTTCCTGCACGCCGAGCTTGCTTGAAACTGTGGTTTGAGTCGACGAGAATCGGTGCCGCTACGAGTTTGAGTAACTCCCTAGGCACCGTATTTTCAAGGCAACCGCATGCAATTTCGGAAGCTGGGCCGCACCGAGATAAGCGTCTCCCAAGTCGCCTTCGGCGCCGGCCCCGTCTCCGGCCTCATGACCGGCAGTGAAGTCGCGCGGCAGCGGGCCGTTGTACAGCGTGCTGTCGAATGCGGCATCAACTGGTTTGATACGGCGGCCACGTACGGGGCGGGCCAATCAGAAGCTTCTCTCGGCGATGCCCTGCAGGCGTTGAACGTCGCCGATCAAGTCCACCTGGCGACCAAAGTTCGCTTCATGCCCGAGGACTTGGCCGACATTCGTGGGCACGCCATACATTCAGTCAACGAAAGCCTCTCCCGCCTTCGGGTTGAACACGTCACCCTGCTGCAACTCCACAACTCCATCACCAACACCCGGGGCGATGAGCCAACCTCGATCACGCCCCAAGACGTGCTCGGCCCTGGTGGTGTGTTAGAAGCCTTCGAAGAGTTACGCATCGCGGGCAAGGTTCAATACCTCGGCCTCACTGGCATCGGTCAACCGGCGGCCCTGGCCGAAGTGATCGACTCCGGCGCGTTCGATACCATCCAAACCCCTTACAACGTGCTGAACCCCAGTTCCGGTAGGACGATGCCCGATTCGTTCGCCGACACGAACTACGGCAACATCATCGCTCATTGTCAGCGGCAGGGGATGGGGGTGTTCGCGATTCGCGTTTACGCCGGCGGGGCCATGGCGGGCAGTGTTCCCAGTGCGCACACGCTCAAGACGAAGTTTTTCCCGTTGAAACTTTATGAGCAGGATGTTTTTCGTTCAGCCCGGCTGTGCGATGTGTTAGGCTGCCGTCGCGATGAACTGATGGAGATCGGGCTACGCTACGCTCTTTCGCATGAAACCATCACGGCGGCCATCGTCGGCATGGGCGAGCCAGGGCATGTCGATCGCGCGGTGGCGGCTGTCGACGCAGGCCCGTTACCTGCGGAAACTATCGAACTGATCCATCGCGAACTGGACAACGCCGAACAAGCACCTTGAGGAAACGCCCATGAGTTCCAGTGACGAACCGATCAAGGAACTCTCTCGGGGCGGGCGGATTTCAGTTCTGGTCGTCGCATTCCTCGGCTGGATGTTCGCCGGCACCATCATGGTCATAGTACCGCTGGCAGGGCGTCCGGCGTTGATCTCGATGGGCGTTACCGACGAAGGTCAGGTCGGCAATTGGTTCGCCTGGTACATCTGTGCATTTCTGCTAGGCGCCGCCGCCGGCGGATGGCTCTTTGGAACCCTCGGCGACCGTATCGGTCGCGCCAAAGCCATGGGGGCCAGCATCCTCTGGTACTCCATCTTCACCGGCGTCATGGTTTGGGTCGAAACCCCTACGCATTTCTTGATTTTGAGATTTGTCGCCTGCATGGGAGTGGGCGGCATGTGGCCCAACGGCGTGGCCCTGGCCTCGGAAAGTTGGTCCAACGTCTCTCGCCCGCTCTTGGCCGGGCTGATCGGCACCTCGGCCAACCTTGGCTTCGTCTATCTGGGCATGTTGAGTTCCGAGAATTGGATCAACATGCAACTTAGCTCACTGTTGAATACCGATCTGACGATCAGCCCCGACAACTGGCGGTGGGTGATGATCGTCGGCGCCCTGCCCGCACCGCTGGGGCTAATCGCCATGACCATCCTCCCCGAGTCACCACGATGGCTCGCCCAGCGGAATGTAGTACGCGAGGCCGGCGCCGAGAACCTGATGTTTGAAGTATTCCGCCCACCATTATTGAAGGTGACCCTGCTCGGCATCGTGTTGGGCACCATTCCCCTGCTGGGCAACTGGGGCGGAGCCAACTGGCTGGTGCCCTGGGCCGACCAGGTCGGCGGTGAAGAGAGGGCCGACCTCGAAAGCCGAACGCAGACGATCCGCTCGGCCGGGGCAGCCCTGGGAAGTTTACTCGGCGGTTGGCTGGCCGCCATGTTCGGGCGACGCACGACCTACTTTGCCATCAGCCTGTTTTCGTTGGCTTCCAGTGCCTACCTGTTCTGGTTCCTCACGCCGAACTCACCGAACTTTCTCTGGTGGGTTTTCATTCTTGGGTTCTTTGGCACCGTGTTCTTTGGCTGGCTGCCACTCTATCTGCCAGAACTCTTCCCCACCCACATTCGTTCCACCGGCAGCGGAGTGACCTTCAACTTCGGGCGGATCTTCACCGCTCTTGGCGTGCTGGGCGTGGGCGAAATCATGCGACAGTTCGACGGCGACTACGCCCGCGTAGGGCAGGTCACCAGCCTCGTCTACCTGCTGGGCATGATCATCATCTGCTTCGCCCCCGATACCTCGAAGCGGCAACTCGATGACGATTAGCCGGCAAATACCGCCTCGCTTGCTACTTCACCCCGGCTGGCTTCACCTGAATGAGATCTAGATACGGCTTGGCCTCAGGCCAAGAGCGCACTTCTTCAAGCTGCTCGGCCGAAACTTCGATCGACGTGAAATCCTCGATCGAGAATCGATCGGGAAACTTGCCCTCCAAATACCCAAACGGTTCCCTCGCCGCCGCCTCTTCCGGCGGAAGGTCATACTCCCTGGCAGGAATAAAAACCGTCCAGAATTCCTGGGGCTTGTTCAGCTTCAACAACTCTTCAAACCGCTGCCGAATCGTCTTCCCCGCCGCCGAATCGTCCGCGTTTCGCAACACCAGAATCGCCTGGTACGCGAGCGCCCGATTCCAATGGTCCTCAGTCACGATGTAATGCGAGAAGTGCAGCCGGTCGTCAAAGCCAAGGCTCAACGGGTTGTACGGGTCCGTCGGCAACGACTTACCCGCACTCAGCATGTCCTGCATCTTCGCCGCATCCTGATGACGAACGGCCGAGAGGAAGTGCATACCACTGAAGGGCGTAGCCCAACCGTTCTCACGCACCGAGTCCTTCAGCCGGATGATCACATCGCCATACCGCGGCGATCCATGCGGCGGCCCCACGCTGGCGAACACACAGTCGAACGCACCATACAGTTCGTTTTCTAACTGCGACGTGGTGTGTTTGGTCGTTCCGCGATTCAGTCGCTCTTCAACCTCATGTGACAACAGCCCACCGTTCTTCAGCACTCCCCTCAGGTCTACAAAGGGAAGTCGATTGATGATGGGGGCCTGCATCTTTTCAATGTGCTCAATGAGTTGCTGCTCTTGGGAAGTCAGCGGAGCGAGAAACAACTCGAACTCATCCATCGTGCAGCGGCTGCTGATCTGCAACCACTTGCGAATTGTCTTTGCATCTAGAGGGCGATGAAACGCACGATCATCAATCGCCATCCGCCGAGTGGCCGCAATCGGGGCGCCGGCCACCGAGTCATTGGGTCTAGCCGTAGCCTGCTGGGCGAACGAGGGTGTTATCGCGCACAGCCACAGTGCAAAGCCCGCGAGCAAGTAACGTTGCCAATCGGCGCTTGGACGAAACATCCGGTAATTCCTGTTGTACGGATTGAATGTAGTGCCGAAGCAGATCGACGGCTCGATAGTATACGTCGCCGCTCACGCCATCTGCCCCCTCACCCAAGGGTGGCCGAAAGCTTCATTGATATTCAACCGCCCCTTCGGCATTATTGTGCGTGGGTCCTGCGTCTTGCCTGGAGGCGTGGGGTCGAGAGGGTGGGGACTGTGCCTGCGGGTCGACGGACTCGCAGGGCGGTTCCCAGTGTGGTGTGTTGGCGGTGGTGAAGTTTTGCGTGATCGGAACTGCGTCCGGAGGCGTCTATGTGCGTTCATACGACCCAAGATGCAGGAAAGACACCCGCGAGATAATCGCAGGTGGAAGCTCGAGCCGATGGCCAGGCGATCTGGCAACAGCATCGAACGCGAAACGGCTTGTCGTCACCAACAACCCATTTCACACAGCCCCCTCGATCACTCCCAACCACGACCGTGGTTCCGGAACCACATTTTTTGGTTCACCCGTATCTATCGTGCCCGCACCTTGACTCGACCGCCCCGGCGTGGTGGGATCGACGCTGTGAATAATTGACTCGACACCGATCCCACGCGACGGGAGATATTTTGTATGGCCGACGTACGTAATTTTGGCGCCGTGGGCGACGGCACCACCGACGACACCGAGGCCATCCAGCACGCGGTGGACGATGGTGACGGCGTACTGGAGTTCCCTTCCGGAACGTACAAAATCACAGGCACCATCGAGATTCCCCTCGACCGCAAGCGGTACACGGCCGTAGTTGGTTCTCACGGTACAGCCCGGGTGGTGATGACCGCCAACGGTCCGGCCTTTCGTCTCGTGGGTAATCACACCGGTACGGCCGATCCCACGTCGGTAAAACCCGCCATCTGGCAGCACGAACGTTTTCCCACCGTCAGCGGTATCGAGATCGTAGGCGATCACCCACAGGCAGACGGAATTCAACTCGTGCGAACCATGCAAGCCACGCTCGAACGCGTGCTCATTCGCAATGTCCGCCACGCGGTGCATCTGCCCGAGCGTAACCGCAACGTGCTAATCACGGCGTGCCACTTTTACGACAACTCCGGCATCGGCGTTTTCATGGACCGCTGCAATCTTCACCAAGCGATCATCACCGGCTGCCACATCAGCTACAACCGCGAAGCTGGCATCAAGTCGCTGGGCGGCGACCTGCACAACCTACAGATCACCGGCAACGACATCGAATACAACTACGACGACGAGGGCACCGGGGCGGCCGAGATTTGGTTCGACGCCACCGAAGGCACCGCCAGCGAGATCACCATCGCCAGCAATACGATTCAAGCCAAGCCATCGCAAGATGGCGTGAACGTCCGTGTGCATGGTCGAATCGACGGCGATGGTCGCCTCTCGGCGCGGCTCATCACCCTTTCGGCCAATGTGCTGGGAAGCCAGAGCACCAACGTCGACATCCGACTTGCCGAACGTGTGGCGATCTCCGGCAACACCATCTACGACGGCCACACCCAGGGCATCCGACTGGAAGAGTGCTCGCTGGCCAGCATCTCGGGCAACACGTTTGGTTGGTCGTTGGGTCCCCAGCGCAACACCATCGACAGTATCCTCCTCCGCAATTGCTGGGGCTGCACGGTCTCGGGTGCTGTGCTCCACGCCGGCAGCTACGGCGATGAAACCTCCGGGGGCGCGATCACGCTGGAGAACTGCGAAGACTGCTCGGTGAACAATTGCCAGGTCATGTCGCCCAAGCGGCGCGGCATCTCGCTGACCGATTGTCAGCGATGTCGGGTCGACAGCAATTCGGTTGCCGATCGCCACGAACCCCCGCGGTCAACCGCCGGAATTGAACTCTCAGGCGGTGCCAACAACGTCGTACAGAACAACTTGCTGCATTGCCCCGCCGGCGAACCGCTACGCTGCCCCGACGAGGTCGCTACCAAGTCGAACAATACGATCGTGTCGTAAACTTAAGGAAGGCCCGATCGAGAAGCTGGCTGGAAAGACCCTCATGCACTGTTTCCCACCTTTTGTTTTCAGAACTGCCCAGCTCTGCAAGGTTCATTGCCTTGCAGTGGTAGTCTGCCTAATCGCCTCGCCTGTTTTTTCGTTCGCAGATGAACCATTGGCGGTATCAGCCACCGGGCAGGAGGCGATGGTGGTCTCCGTCTCGCAACCCGCCACCGACGTTGGTGCGGCGGTGCTTCGCGACGGAGGAAACGCCGTCGACGCGGCCGTAGCCGTGGGATTCGCATTGGCCGTCACCTGGCCCGAGGCCGGCAACATAGGCGGCGGCGGGTTCATGATGATCGCCCCCGGACCAAAGCAATCGCCGGTCTGCGTCGACTACCGCGAAACTGCCCCGGCGGCGGCCAAGGCCGACATGTTCAGTGAGGGAACCGACTACCTCGGACACGAAGTCGTCGGCACTCCCGGCACGGTGGCCGGTTTCGCCTTGGCTCACGAACGATACGGAAACTTGCCGTGGAAACGTTTAGTCGAACCTGCGGTGAAGCTGGCTGCCGAAGGTTTTGCCATCGATGCCGCCTTGGCCGAGGGCCTGAACGAGCTGTTGGTCGAAACACAGTCCGAGGAATTCGCCGAGTTTCAACGCGTCTTCGCCCGCCCCGACGGTGAACCCTGGCAGGCGGGCGACACGCTCGTGCAACCCGACCTGGCCTGGACATTGCAACTCATCGCCGACGAGGGCCCTCCAGCGTTTTACCGCGGGGCAATCGCTGAGAAGCTGAATCATGAGATGGAACTCGGCGACGGACTCATCACGTTGGCCGACCTGCGAGAGTACACGGCCAAAATCCGCCAGCCGATCCACGGCACGTTTCACGAGTTCGATACCTATGGGGCACCGCCTCCCAGCTCAGGCGGAATTGTCGTGGTCGAGGTGTTGAACATCCTCGAGCATCTCGACTTGTCGCCTTACGAACGTTGGTCGCCGCAGGCCGTGCACTTGGTGATTGAGGCCATTAGGAGAGCCTACCTCGATCGGGCCCGCCACCTGGGCGACCCCGACTTTGTGTCGATTCCCGAGTTCCTGCCCAGCAAGAAGTACGCCCGAGAGTTGGCCGCAGACATCGATCGCCAGCGAGCCACCTCCAGCTTGGAACTGGCATCCGAGATGGACATTGCCGGCGAAGGGGACAGCACGACGCATTTCTGCGTGGTCGACGGCGACGGGATGGGCGTCTCGAACACGTACACCATCGAAAGCAGTTGGGGCTCACGTGTCGTCGTCCGCGGAGCCGGCTTTCTGCTGAACAACGAGATGACCGACTTCAATCACCGGCCGGGGTATACCAATCGACTGGGAGCTATCGGAACTCCGGCCAATACCGTGGTGCCCGGCAAGCGGATGCTGAGTTCCCAATGTCCCGTGATTGTGCTCCGTGACGGACAGCTCTTCCTACTCACGGGCAGCCCCGGCGGGCGGACGATTCCCAACACGGTGCTGTGTGTCTTGCTGGGGGTGCTGCAATACGAGAATGATCTGGTGACCGCCGTGAGCGAGCCTCGCCTGCATCACCAGTGGCTTCCCGACATTCTGTTTTTCGAGGGAAGGGAACGCCCCGAATTCCAAGACCTGGTCGAACAACTCGAAGCGATGGGCCACACGGTCGCGCCCGTGGGCCACATCCAAGGCGACGCCCATTCGATTCAGGTTACCGATGGCAAGCTGATCGGCGTGACCGACCAACGCCGAACCAAAGCCAAACCTGTAGGTTGGTAAACGCCGCCGTTAGTTACTCTTCGCCACGTAAGGGTGAACCATCTTCGAGGGATCCACCACGCGATCGAACTCTTCGGCCGAGACGAACCCCAGTTCCAGGGCCGCGTCCTTCAGCGACTGGTCGTTGTCCATGGCGTGATGGGCGATCTTCGACGCTTTGTCATAGCCAA